TTTTTTGCTGCAAAAAGTAGCTGCTGGGCAATGGGATACTGAAATCTATGCTGTCCTACAGGAAAATTGAAGGGGAAGGAGATAAGAGAAGTGGGGAGAGATAAAAGCGAGGGCAGATTAGGAGAAGGGTTACCCAGAATGCATGCCACCTTGGGGTGGGGGGAGGGACAAGATGGGGAGAAAACTTGGAACTCAAAATCTTATGGAAGTGAATGTTGAAAACTAAAAATAAATAAATTAATAAAATCTGGAAAAAATAGCTCCTGTACTATTTCTATGCATATGGTCACTTTTGCTCTTTCCTTTATCTCTTTGGGGTGTAGCTTGAATAGTTATATCACTGAGTCAAAGGTCATGCACAATTTAATGACCTTTTGGGTATAGCTTTAAATAGCTTTTCAAAGTGACTGAATGAATGCATAGCTTCAAAAACAGTGCATTAGTGTGCCTTTTCTTCTATATCCCCTTCTGCAATTGTTATTCTCCTTTATGGCATTTTGATGAGTGTGAGATGAAGCCTCAGAGATTTTTTTTAAATTTGCATTTCTCTCATTATTAATGATTTGGACTTTTCTTTCAGTTTTTTTCTTTTTGTTGCTAGCTTAGATTTACTCCCTTGAGAATTGTCTGTTCATTTCCTTTGACCAGTTATCTATTGCATCTCTAATTTTCTTTTTCTGTTTGTGAAACGGAAGTGTGTCATTATCTCTGTTGCTATTCTCTTTACTCTCTCCAGCTTCATAGTATCTTTCTTAAAATGAGGTGCCCTGAAGAAGGACAAAAGACTTCTGAGGTAGTCTGATCTAGGCAGAATACAGATAGACTTGAAAAATCTCTTCTGGAAATAGGACTAGATCTCATCTTGGTTGATTTACCCTCTGCCATTTGAAATCCACTCCTACTGGTGCCCTTCAGTGGGGACTTACAGCCCACCTGCTCTCCTAAGGCTTCAGTACTTTACACTTACCAGAGCCTGCTAATTGTATGAGTACACGGTGCCAATCAATGGAGACATGGATGAAACCTTTTGCACTTGTGATTTATTCAGAACATGAACCCATGCTTGGAGAAGTGAAAATCCAGTGAACTAACCTTCTGCCCCAGCTCTTGTTAGCAGGTTGATCTAATACCACTTGAAATGCTGACTCATGGAGTCATTGCTGGAGATGGTCATGTGATTTATATACTGATGGCATTTAAAAATCCATGAAAAATTCTCTAGCTCATAATGATAATGGCTAGCATTAAGCACTGTTTTAAAGTTTGCAAAGTGCTTTGCAAATAATATCTCATTTTATCCTCAGAGTCAAATAGATAGTAAACATCTGAGGTGAGTTGACATGTCTTCCCGCTTTTATGTCCAGCACTCTATCTACTAAATCACATAGCTAACAACAACAATAATAAAAATAACCACAGCATTTATATATTAAGCTTATAAAGCACTTTATAAATATTCTTATATTTTATCCTCACAAAACCTTAGAGTTAGGGGCTTTATTATTCCCATTTTATAGATGAACAAACTGAGGCTAAAAGGCTAAGAGACTGGCCTAGCATTGCACAATAGTTTAAATTTTAATTTGGACTTTGTCTCTGCATGCCCAGCACCTAGTCATAGCCCAATGCCTGGCACACAGGAGATACTCAAAAATGCTTGAGAATTATTTACCTGATTATTTTCTTTTGAAGAGTGTGGTGTCAAGACAAGGACAATATTTTTAAAGCAGCATTGATTGCAAAGAACTTGAAAAAGAGCCTTTATTTAGATGTCGTCTTCTTTCTTGAAATAAGAGGTCTAGTGGCCTAGAAATGAGACAGAAAAAAAATCCAAATTTCTTTCCCTGTCTTAATAAGGGTTAGTTGTGTAGTGGTTCCATTTTCATTTGATCTGAAAACCATTTTCATTTCATTGGCTATATTTCTTCTAGACCAGCTGTTAAGGCCTGGAGAATTTAAAATTCTCTCACCCAGACAGAATCAGTGGACTACTCAAGGGGAAGAGTATGTATTGGCAATGCTGCTTGATTTAGGTCACATTATTTGGGGTTCTATCCTGGGCAGAACTGAAAGCATGCTTCTCTCTATCCCCTATATTAAGTGCTGGAGGTTGGCTCCTATAAACACAAGGCTTTCTGACATTTTTCATCTGTTATTCAGTTCTCTGAACACAGAATAAACCTCCAGAAAACATTATATGTCTTTCTTGAACTCTAGAGTTCAAATGTAAACCCTGCCATCTTCTTAACACTGTTGCATCCACAAGTATCAGGGAAGCCTCCTCCCAAACCATCCTATTTACACTTCACTATAATTGAGCTTATTGCTGGTACTGGCTGTTTTTCATCAGTTGTTAAGTGGGAGCAAACGAAATGCCCATATACTAGCATGTATGTTACTTGAATTATATTCATCCAATTGATGAAAGAGTTATGACTGGTTTTGCATCCCACTCCTGGGTGCTAGCTGAGTTAAATCTCAAGGATGTTTAAGGCTTGACTCTGGTCATCTTGCTACATTTGCCTCCTCAAAATAAAACGCAGGTTTTTTGTACTAGATATAAAACACCGAACTCCTCTCATGCTAGATCAGAAGGGGGAAAAAAGGAAACATTTTCACTTCAATTCAGAAAAGAGACACTTTGAAAAAGCCAACCATGGAATATGACTTTTTTTTAAAACAGAAAACGTGCTGACTTTCATTTCCAGAATGCATACCCAACTTCTGACACTTGGTGATGAGTGGTGTGTCACAGCCGTTTAAGCTGAGAGGCTATCACATAGTGAAAGGGAATCTTATAAATACAAATCCCAGGACACCAGAACAGCACTTAACAGCCCTCACTTTCCTCAGTAAGTTGAAGATAACAAACTAAAAAGCCAGGAGAAAAATTACTGCTGGGACAATGAGAGAGGAGATGGGGGGAAAAAACCCGAAGTGTGGGAAATAATTAAGTGATTAATTCATTTTGCTCTTAATTTGAGAACATTTTGGGAAGGCATGTAGGATCGTCTGACTCCATATGTTTCTCTTCTTTTTTTCTTTCATGTGGTAAGAGAATAGTTTGGGCAAATACTTAGTGAAATAAAACAGTGTTTATTTCTTGGTGAGTGAAAATATTACATATTCCAGTTGAAAAAAGGAAAGGCAGCAGCAGGGCCTCCGTTGTTTTTAACTAAGGTGATTTTTGCCTCTTCATTAGACATGAGGCAGCATACAGTAATGGAATAAAGAGCTGGCCTCAGAATCAGGAAGACCTGGATTCGAGTCCTGACTCTGACTCACATCGGTTATGTAATCCTGGGCAAATTAGCTGATCTATCAGCATCTCTAAGTAGCTGTCTAAGAATATAAGGTATGGAGAAGGCAGTGGCTTGCATTGGCAGAGAAAATTCCCCATACCTATGAAATCATAGCTCCAGCCCTTAGATAAGGACTTATTAGATTTATTTTTATTCATTCATGAAACAAAATGTACCAGGCATGGTTCTCTGCCCTACCTCGTTAATAATTGCGATGAAAAGCTTTTTATTTCTAGGCAATGCCTGGAACCATAGCTTGCCCATAGTGGGATCCAACAGATATTTATTGAGTGAATGGATTGAATCGAAATACCAAAAAGATCGAGCCCCAAACAATGGAGAGGACTCTGTCTGCAACATGGGATTTGCTCTTCAAGAGATGTTAGAATTAATGTGGTTTCAAAAAGACTGTAAAGTATAATGAAGTTAGTCAAACTAAAAGCTATGAGCTTTTAATTTGGAGACTGACAAGTACTGAAGGGAATAAGAAGAGACAGCCTTTGGGGTCATAGGCTCATATATCATTTTTCCTGAACAGACATTAGTGGTGGTGGGGGGATCATTTCTATCTTTCTTTATTTCTATGCCCTGGACCCAAATTACAAATCCTGCAAAACTGAGATCCCATTGCTCTGGGAGTAGTGCTAAAGAAAAAGGAAAGGTTTTGAATTTATGCGTTCTAGGGATTCCACAAAGAATGTTGGGCAGGATATCCAGAAAATAATGAACTTCCAGAGGCATCTTAGTGAGTTGTTCTTGTCATTAAATCTAGGCTGCTATTAATAAGCTTAATTAAATTTATTAATTGCCTCAACCACAATCAGATTTCTCTTTATTTGATGCTGTGGGTACTTCTCTCTCCTGTAAATGAACTATTAAGAAGGGAAATCACAATCCAGCCTTTCCTGAATCTCTCTTTTGATGTTTCATCATTGTACCAAGGGGTCCCAGGATTCTCCAAGTCTATGTCAGCAATGTGCAAGCTTTGGAAGGTTCAATCAGGGTGGAAAGGCTTAAAAGAAAGGCTTTGTATCTGATGTCTGAGGGATAACCTGGTTAAATTCCAAAAGTCTCATCTCCAAAAAGTTTGTCAGAATATTAATGAAATTCTCTACTAGGATCAAAAGAGTAAGGGGGAGGATCTGCTTTGGCATAGGGAGTAGCCATGAAATCACACAGATCTAAAGATGAAATAAATGATAAGACAGCCATTTTTATGGCTTATGGTTCAACTCTATTGTATAGGGCCTATTCAAGCTCCTGGTTTTCACCTGCTGACTCATCCCATAAATGCAAGATACCTACCTATCTATATATGAAGTACTAAAAAAAAAAACTTGAATGAATGTTAAACAGTTTCCTGCAATTATAGTGTATTTTTGGAGCAAGGGTTTTGAACCTGGGATTGGAAAGCTTTTTTAAAAAAATATTTTAGTGACTAGATTTCAGTATAATTGGTTTCCTTTCTGATTCTATGCATTGTATTTCATGCATTTAAGAAATAATTTGGAGAAGAGATTCCCCCAGACCACCAAAGGGGTTTGTGACACACTACATAATGAAAAATCTTTGCTTTAGAGTCCAGAGATTGGAGCATAGGAGTTGAGTTGTCAGAAATTCAGGCCCTGACCAAGCTTCATGGCACTTTTATTGCTTTTGCTAACATGCTTTTCCTGAGCCTTATTTCATGTATTACAGCTAACCCTGGTTTCTGGGAGAAGTCTAGGTAAATGTTTCTCAGAGTCCAGTCAAGAGCAGAAGAGGCCTAATGAATTTACAAAATCATCTGTGAGGTAAATAATACTCTCTTCCTGCTTCTTTCTGTCCATCCTTCACTCCCTTAATCAATTACAATCCCTATAGATCCCAAAGTCCAGATCTGGGGGTAGAATAACAAAAAAACCCCACATTTTGTTTCCCCACCAATAGTTGTTCTGGGAACCAAAAACCATCACTGGCAAACACCAGAAATGTGACTTTTCCTGATTAAAAAAATAAGGAAAGTTGGGTAGTTATCATCATTGCAGCAGTCCTCTCTAGTGCACGATATACTAGCCCAGAAAACTACTTGGATTCCACCTATAGATGAAGATCTGAGGACTTGTAGCATTTCTTATACTCAACTCTCCTGAGATTTGGTTAGCTTAAAAAAATATCTTTCAGTAAAACTCACTAGAATACATACTTTTTTCCCCCTTGGGCTGTTTCTTTTCTTTCCTTCCATTATTGTGGATTTGATTTTCCTCACTGATAACATTTTGAGAATCATTTGCTGTTAAATGATAAGGAAATAGAAACAGGTGAGGTCAACCACCTCCCCCCTCCCCCCTTCCAACTGCCCTAGGAAAAAACAAACAAACAAAACTAATTTAGTGTCTCTCTCTTATTGACAGCTGCCAAATGGAGTTAATTGTGAGAGAAAGGATTTGTCTCACACCGAAATGCCTTACTTTCCAAAGAGAGAACTTTCTCACTGGGATAAGACTTCCAAGAATTCATGAAGTTAATGGATGCTTTGAGGTTGATTTTTAGATGGTCATTTGTCGCTTCATGCTTCTGAGATTGTCACTCAGAATGGACAGAAAGTTAATACTGTTCGATAGGACTTTTGATGAAAAGCCTAACCCAAAGAGGTATGGTGTTTGGTCTCCATACACATTTTGGACAAAATAACTCTACATTTGGGTAGCTGTGACATATTTTTGCTATTCTTTCAAGGAACCTCAAAAAGCATGTTAACAAGACTCTTGAAATTAATACTCTACTATTAGGGGACATGTAGATGAGGATCCCTCCCTCCTGTTTCCCTCTGCTGAATCATTACAGTCCCTATAATACATGACATTCTCTGTCCTTAACAAATCCCATCCCTCCAATCAATGGTGATTGGCACCAGGCCACCGCTGTTTCACTTGAACTCATTATGAAACCTGGTCCTGTATTTTGTTTTTATTAGTTCTCACCACTCTTAAGCGCTCTCATTCTCTCATTCTTCCCTGATTTAAGCCCGTAGTAGTCCTGCAATCTTGCCAATTTTTAAAGAATTGAAGAAACCCAAGTTGGCTTCAGGGCAGGTTTCCTCAAAACACTTGTAGCTCTAATTATATAATCACCATTCAAAGCTGAGGCCAGCAAGTCCAATTTAGTGCACAGTATGGATGACTTCTGAGTCTTTGTACCTTTTGAAAGGTCTCTTTCCCACCCCCCCCAATTTTATTTTTTTACCCAATGGCTGAATTTAGAACAAACTGCTATTGGTTGAAGAAGTCAGCCAATGTGACCAATTAGCCTTTAGATGCCCACACCCTTAACTACCTCCTGATAATTTCAACCATAGGGCTCTGGTGAAGAAGCCTCTTGTGAAAGTTAATGGTTATAAAAAGCACTTACGTACATCTGTTTCAGTGTAGCCATGCAGAGTGCAATTAATTAAGGAGTTTCTGGTGTGGTAAGAATAATCATACAGCTGGAATGCAAACACATGATTTCCAAAGAGAATTTTATTCCATATGGAATTTTTCCCCTAACTAAGAATTAATTGCAACTTTAAAGAAGGTTTGATTGTGTCTATGAGAAACATTTTAACTACTGAGGAATTCTAAATGACTTCAATTTCAAATTTTCTTTCTTTACATTGTTTGAGTTAAGACAGCAGGGCTTTGATCAAGCTCTGAGTTATATAATTTATTAGAGTAAAGGGAAGAGGATAACCTTCAGATGTCTTCTGTGGTGAAAGACTGTAGTTAAACATTTTAAATGTTTGCAGACTAAAGACATACTCAACTGAGAGGCCCAATGGGATAAATATGATGTGACTTGTTTTATTTTCTTACTTGTCCTTAGTTTTAAAACACACATACACACCCATCACCCCCCCCAAAGTGTATGTAAATCATATTTAATGCCTTTCTTATAACTCCTGAGATGAGTTTTCAGTGACTATCCTTTCTGTGACGGTTTTACACCATATAGAATATATGTTATGTTAGAGTATGAGGAAGAAGCCTTAGGATTGTTGGGGCAGCAGTTTCAAATCCTTAAAGCCTTATGTCGATACAATATAAAAAGATTCCTTGTACCTTGAACTACAAATTTTCTGATTTTTTGCTTCTTGTCTATGAATAATGCAAATCACCGAGGCGAAAAAGAGGCATACTAGGGAAACAGCTTAATCCAGACAGTTCAAGAACAGTAAAAACAGGAGGGCTGCCAGTAAAAACAACTAGAGTGTAGAACTCATCATGCTTAACTAGATCATAGGAGTGTAATAATTTCAGGGGAAAATGGTTTCAATGAATAACAAAATACTCTTATCACACGCAATTTTAATTTGATTGGCATGACATCTCCATCATATTCTAATTAATTACGGATGATAAAAATGGCTGCCTTCTTCAGAGTTCAAATGAACATTCATCAATCGGTTACTTAAATGCCAGACCATCTGAAATATTGAGGGAACTTGTTCCTGTTTTGGAGATGAAAGCAAACAAAATGGAAATCTTGAACTAATTCAGAGAAGGATGCATATTGATAAGTTGTGTTTGGCAAGATAATGCTGCCCTCATGGGGGAAGGGATGACAGTACAGGTATCCCTTATTTAATGAATAAATGTATTGTGGCAAAGTTAGAGAAATCCTCCTGTTACATTGACTTGCATTATACATATCTTGATTTGGATTTACTAGGAAAACACTTTAATAAAGTCATTCCAAATGACAGATTTTGAAATTTTTGATTTTGAAAATTATATATTTAAAAATGATAGAAGAATCTCTACTAAAACATTAGCAGTAGTTCCCAAGATATGACAATAAAGCAATATTATTACTATTGTGTTATGTTCAAAATGTCACAGAATAAAAATGTCAAAAGCTAAATAGCATGATTGACAGACTCTTGTTGAAAGAAATCCTCTTAAAGCTTCAATATTTTTTGCTAGGCTTTCTGTAAAACTTGGACTCAATCTAAAGGCTGCACACAAGGACCTAGAAGGACATATGTGGCCTCAAGGTCGCAGGTTCCCTACCCCTGGTCTAGATGAATTTTGAGGTCTTTTCCCATTGTGAGGGTCTGTAATTTTGTGACTATCTTTGAATAGGAGGAAAAAAATGTCTTATTAGTTTTCTGTTAAGTGCCAAGCTGTATGGATTTTCTCTGTTTCTGTTCCATAGGTTGTTTATTCAATTAACCATTAATGTCTTCATCAGGGGCTGTTATATAACATCAGAAAACAAACACATTTAAAGAATGGATGTACCCATTTGTATTAGTACAGATAGCAACCCTTCTCATCTTGTAAGATTCATGCCTATGTTCTTCCATCAATCCGCCATATAAAGTTTATTTGAGAAGGTTTTCATGAAGGTTACCAATACAAACAACGCTTAGGTCACCCTTCTCTGATCTTCTGCTGATTATGTGATAGACTTGCTTTCTTTTCTAGGAAAACCAGTCTTGAGTGCAACTTAGCAGTGGTAATAAGCTGCAGCTGACTTAAATCTTCCATCTCTCTATTTCTCTGTCTCTGTCTCTCTTTGTCTCTATCTCTGTCTCTCTCTTTCTCTGTCTCTTTCTCTGTCACTCTTTTGCTCTGTCTCTCTCTGTCTCTGTCTCTTTGTCTCTATCTGTCTCTCTTACTTCTCTTTCTCTGTCTTTTTCTCTGTCACTCTTTCGCTCTGTCTCTCTCTCTCTCTGTCTTTGTCTCTCTTTGTCTCTATCTCTGTCTCTCTGCCTCTCTCTCTCTCTGTTTGGGTAGCCAGTAATTTTGATTCTTTGAAGATCTTGGTGTTTCATGATTCATAGACATATTGTGTTATCAAGAGAATATCTGTATTGAAGAAAAGGACTTTTTGTGTCAAAGAGTAGCTTATGATCATTCAAAAACACTGGAAAATATCTCATATTCAATAGAACACTTTTTTCTTCTATACAATTCTGGGTATAGATCATTCTCCAACTGTACTGCCTATCCAAAGATATGCGTGCTCTCTGATTGGGTTGCCCATATAATAAATAGCATTTCATAGACTGAATGACATGCATTCTTCATTCACTTGTTTCTTTTTTTCCATATTTGAATTGCTAGGCTGGTCTCTTTTGAGTGGCTAAGGAACTCATTGAGAAGATCCTATGTTATTGATAAAGTGAGTGCAGTCATTTGTAAATGAGGCATCTATTCCATAATGAAAGCAAGTCACTCGACCTCTGTTATGCCTCAGTTTTCTCAACTATGAGATTGATACAAGAGTAGCACCTGCTTCCCTTGGTTATTGTGAGGATCAAATTCGATAATACTTTAAAGTGCTTAGACCATTGCCTATCATATTGTAGGTACTTAATAAATTCTTATTCCCTCACCCTCCCTGCTGCTTCCTAAACAAATGCATTTTCCCTCCCAGAGATAGCATAGTACAAAAGGATTGGAGGTCAAGTCAAGAGACTTAAAGTTCAATTTTTTCATATTTACAATCTGTGTGGCCGTAGGTCACTTAACCTCTCTGAGCTTCATCTCTTAGAGCCACAGTTAACCTCTTAGAACCATAATCAGGAATTTTTCAGCTGGGATAAAAGCAGTTGAGTTGACAGCATGATGGTGGTGCAGAGGAGTCCAACCATGGATATAGTTCTAGGAGAGTGTGAGCCTCATCCCCTGGTTAGGAAGAAAATAGGGTCTGAGAAAGCTATCCCCTAAGCAACAGGATCTAGGACCAGCTTCTCTAAGACCAATTATATGCTGTGAAGGTGCCAGCTGGCAGAAGAATTCGAGGCAAGGTAAAAAGATTATGGTCACCAGAGGGAGGAAGCATAGTGTTTAACAATGTCAGAACCTTTAGGCAATGCCCTTTTGTTCCCTTTTTATTTTGATTTTCCTTCTTTGTAAAATAGAGATAGCAGGATCACAAATTTATAGCTGAGGACATGTTTGGGTCTTATCTAGTCCAATATCTTAATTTTACAAATAAGGAAACTGAGTCCTAGAAAGATTCAGTGACTTTCTCAGAGGCATTGAGCTAGTAAAACGCAGATCAAGAATGCCATCTCAGATTGTTTGTCTCCAAAATCAGTGGGTTTTTTTATTTGTTTATTTTACTGCTTTACACTCTTCCACAACGATATTTGAAGTACCTACCTCAAAAGGTTGTTTTGAGGACCAAATGAGACAACGTATGCAAAGTGCTTTAAAAACCCATTTATTATCATCTCTCTATTAACAAGAAGCACTTTTTTGCCCTCTTTCATTTGATACCTCTGAACACATGACCTTTGTAGAAAATTATATGCAAAATTCTGCTTGGCTCCCTTTTCATTTTTTTTTTCATCAAGACTATTCTTGATACACACACACACATACAGAGTTGCTAATGTCTTGTTGGCCACGTTTTTGGTTAATGATACTTTGTGTAATATTTTCCATTCTTCCAAAATCTTCTCTTTGAGATATCTCCTGAGTGCCTTTAAAATTATGCCATCTTTAGCATAGAGTTTCTTTGTGTTTTTGGCTGGTTTTCTTAACAACATATTAAGTTAAATTAATGTTTATAGGTAAGATTTTCTTTTCTTCCCCTCTGCCTTTTCCCCCCAACATGATAACTGCTACAAAAAAAAAAGACGCTTATAGGATTGAGGGGTCTTTGGTGGTTTTGTTTCCTGGGTCACTGTGGCCAAATAATTTTTTCACCACAAAGTCATCCCTGCCTCTCCACACCAATCCTCAGATAGTGGGCACAAACTCTCATTAAGAATATACCTTAAGTGAGTTATGATCATTTTGGCATTCTAGCATAGTCCACTAGTATTTAAGGTTATATCAATGCTATAGTGGACCAACATAATCAGATTTCAGTGGGTCTGCAGAGTCAGATATTTGAAAGTAGAGTCCAAATTGTGGCATGGGTTTTCTAATTCTGTAATTCTAAGCCTGTAAAAATATAAAGTTATTTTTATGACTTTTTTATATAATTCTTCATATCCTGGATTTCAGAATCAATTAATCAGTCAATAGACATTGATTGACATTGGGCAGCTATGTGGCACACTGGATAAAGCACTAGGTTTGGAGTCAGGAGGACCTGAGTTAAAATCTGTTTACTAGCTATGTGATTTTGGGCAAGTCACTTAACCCTATTTGCCTCCATTCCTCATCTGTTAAATGAACTAGAGAAGGAAACCGCTCTTATGTCTTTGCCAAGAAAACCCCAAATGGGGTCATAAAGAGTAAGACGTCACTTAAATGACTGAGCAACAAAAGGAGCAAAGATATTAAAAACTTACTGTGTGCCAGACCTTGTATTAGGATCTGGGGACGCAAAGACAGAAATGAAACTTTCCCTCCCCTCAATGAGCTTGTATTCTATAGAGTCATGCCTGTAACCTGGAGTCTATGGAGAGATTTCAGTGAACTTGGATCAGAAAAAAAAAACACTTTTATTTCCACTAACCTCTAACTGAAATTTAGCGTTTCCTTCAATTATTTAAAATTTTTATTTCAATAGGCTTTACCAGACTGCCAAGGGGTCCATAGCACAGAAAGGGTGAAGAATCCTTGCTGTAACGGCAGATAATGTGAACAGATCTAAATATATACATAGTAAGTAGATGTAAAATATAAGCAAAGTAACAACAAGACAATATTCTTGGGGGCTGGAGGCAATAGCAGCTGGGGAGAGAAAGTAGAAAATGGTGCCTGAACTAAGTTTAGAAGAAAACTAGCTTTAGGCACCGCTAGGTGGCGCAATGGATAGAGCACTGGCCCTGGAATAAGGAGGACCTGAGTTCAAATTCGTCCCCAGACACTTAACACTTACTAGCTGTGTGATCCTGGGCAAGTCACTTAACCCCATTGCCTAACCAAAAACCCCCCCAAAAACGCCCCACCCACAAAAACTCCAAGACTAGCTTTCAGAAAAAAATGTATATATACACATATGTGTATGTCTTTATAGACATGTGCATCTACATGTACATGTATGTATATATGCATGTATATTCTGATATATACATGTATACAATTATATACATATTTATAATTGTATAAATTTCTTATATATGTATGCATTATATATAGCTACCTATATAATATCATTTATTATATTTATTATCTATCTAAGCATCTCTCTATCATCTATCTATATCTATGCAGACCTGTGATTTGACTAATATGGGAATTCTCCTACCATTGCTATTAGAGGAAGAAAGGAAAATCTTTCTACCAATGCAGAGCCACAACTACTCTGCAACTTATAATTTTAGAGTTTTCTGGAGGGTACTGAGAGGTTAAGTGCTTTGCCCAGAATCGAAGCCAGCTGGGGCAGTTGAGTGTCTAGTGGATAGAGCACCGGTCCTGGATTCAGGAGGACCTGAGTTCAAATTCGTCCCCAGACACTTAACACTTACTAGCTGTGTGATCCTGGGCAAGTCACTTAATCCCATTGCTTAGCCAAAACCAAACCAAACCAAAACAAAACACAAAAACACCCAGAATCAAAGCCAGTATGTGTCAGGGGTATTCTTCCTGACTATAAGTCTTGTTCTCTATCTCAGGGCTTCTTAAATTTTTTCATTTGTGATCCCTGTATGCCTGAGAAATTTTTATGTGACCCTGAGTATACAGGTATGTAAAATTAGTATGCAAATCAAACTGATAATAAATCATAAGGAAATTTATTTTTAAACAATTCTTTTGTATACATATACTTTAACCATTTATTAAAGACAAA